GTGTGAACAAGTGAGCCCCAACAGGTGTGAACAGGTGTGCGCAGGTGTGTACAGGTGTGAACAGGTGAGCCCCGACAGGTGTGAACAGGTGTGTGCAGGTGTGCTCAGGTGAGCCCTGACAGGTGTGCACAGGTGTGAACAGGTGAGCCCCGACAGGTGTGCACAGGAGTGAACAGGTGTGCACAGGTGAGCCCTGACAGGTGTGTGCAGGTGTGCGCAGGTGTGAACAGGTGTGAACAGGTGTGCACAGGTGTGCGCAGGTGAGCCCCGACAGGTGTGAACAGGTGTGCGCAGGTGAGCCCCGACAAGTGTGCTCAGGTGTGCACAGGTGTGTCCAGGTGTGCACAGGTGTGCTCAGGTGTGTCCAGGTGTGCTCAGGTGAGGCAGGGGCTCCTTTAAGACAGGCACCGGGCTCTCACCTGTGCACCCCCCACAGGTAACTCCAGCCCAGGTGAGCCTCACCTGTGCACCCCCCACAGGTAACTCCAGCCCAGGTGAGCCTCACCTGCTGCCGGGCTCTCACCTGTGCACCCCCCACAGGTAACTCCAGCTCACCCGAGCTGCGGCTGGCGGCCGGGCCGCACCTGTGCGCAGGTAGGGTGGAGGTGCTGCACGAGGGGCGCTGGGGGACGGTCTGCGACCACGGCTGGGACCTGAGGGACGCCCAGGTGAGCCCAGGTGGGGACAGGTGAGCTCAGGGGGGGACAGGTAGGACCTGAGGGACGCCCAGGTGAGCTCAGGTGGGGACAGGTGAGCCCAGGTGGGGACAGGTGAGCTCAGGGGGGGACAGGTGAGACTGGGGCGGGACAGGTGAGCTCAGGGGGGGACAGGTGGGACCTGAGGGATGCCCAGGTGAGCTCAGGTGGGGACAGGTGAGCTCAGGTGGGGACAGGTGGGACCTGAGGGATGCCCAGGTGAGCCCAGGTGGGGACAGGTGAACTCAGGTGTGTCACTGGGCTCACCAGGTGTGTGTTTACCTGTCCCCAGGTGTGGTTTAGGCTCATCCAGGTGTGTTCAGGGTCCCTCAGGTGTGGTTTATTGCTCTCAGGTGTGTGTTTACCTGTCCCCAGGTGTGGTTTATCTCACCCAGGTGTGTTTACCTGTCCCCAGGTGTGGTTTATCCCACTCAGGTGTGTTTACCTGTCCCCAGGTGTGGTTTATCGCACCCAGGTGTGGTTTATTGCTCTCAGGTGTGTTTACCTGTCCCCAGGTGTGGTTTATCCCACCCAGGTGTGTTTACCTGTCCCCAGGTGTGGTTTATCGCTCTCAGGTGTGTTTACCTGTCCCCAGGTGTGGTTTATCTCACCCAGGTGTGTTTACCTGTCCCCAGGTGTGGTTTAGGGTCCCCCAGGTGTGTTTACCTGTCCCCAGGTGTGGTTTATTGCTCTCAGGTGTGTTTACCTGTCCCCAGGTGTGGTTCAGACCCACCCAGGTGTGTTCAGGGTCCCTCAGGTGTGGTTTATCCCACCCAGGTGTGTTTACCTGTCCCCAGGTGTGGTTTAGGGTCCCCCAGGTGTGGTTTAGGGTCCCCCAGGTGTGTTTACCTGTCCCCAGGTGTGGTTTATCGCACCCAGGTGTGTTTACCTGTCCCCAGGTGTGGTTCAGACCCACCCAGGTGTGTTTAGGGTCCCCCAGGTGTGGTTTATTGCTCTCAGGTGTGTTTACCTGTCCCCAGGTGTGGTTTAGGCTCACCCAGGTGTGTTTACCTGTCCCCAGGTGTGGTTTATCCCACCCAGGTGTGTTTACCTGTCCCCAGGTGTGGTTTAGGCTCACCCAGGTGTGTTTACCTGTCCCCAGGTGTGGTTCAGACCCACCCAGGTGTGTTTAGGGTCCCCCAGGTGTGGTTTATCCCACCCAGGTGTGTTTACCTGTCCCCAGGTGTGGTTTAGGGTCACCCAGGTGTGTTTACCTGTCCCCAGGTGTGGTTTATCTCACCCAGGTGTGTTTACCTGTCCCCAGGTGTGGTTTATCGCACCCAGGTGTGGTTTATTGCTCTCAGGTGTGTTTACCTGTCCCCAGGTGTGGTTCAGACCCACCCAGGTGTGTTTACCTGTCCCCAGGTGTGGTTTAGGCTCACCCAGGTGTGTTTACCTGTCCCCAGGTGTGGTTTATCGCACCCAGGTGTGTTTACCTGTTCCCAGGTGTGGTTTATCGCACCCAGGTGTGGTTTAGGGTCCCCCAGGTGTGTTTACCTGTCCCCAGGTGTGGTTCAGACCCACCCAGGTGTGTTTACCTGCCCACAGGTGATCTGCCGCCAGCTGGGCTGCGGGGAGGCGCTGGCGGCTCCTGGCCACGCCCACTTCGGGCAGGGCTCGGGACAGGTGTGGCTGAGCGACCTCACCTGTTCGGGCCGTGAGCGACACCTGGGGCACTGCCCCGCCCCCCCCTGGGGCAACAACACCTGCGGGCACGAGGAGGACGCGGCGGTGGAGTGCGCAGGTGAGGACAACAGGTGGGAACAGGTGAGAACCACAGGTGAGAACCACAGGTGTGGACAGGTGTGGACAGGTATGGACACCTGTCCATCCCTCACCTGTCCCTCACCTGTCCCTCACCTGTCCATCCCTCACCTGTCCCTCACCTGTCCCATCCCTCACCTGTCCCTCACCTGTCCCTCACCTGTCCATCCCTCACCTGTCCCTCTCTCACCTGTCCATCCCTCACCTGTCCCTCTCTCACCTGTCCCACCCCTCACCTGTCCCTCACCTGTCCATCCCTCACC